GCGGAGGTCGTGTGCCTTGGGAAGGCGCTGTGGGGCGCACGTCGTCTCTCTCCATGTGCTCTTCACCTGCATCATCCTACCGCATGACGATGGATTTGGATGCAAGATACTCGGGCAAGAACTCGATGATGGTGCCGATGGAGCCGTGGTCTTGTCCTTCCTGCACATTTGTCAATCGGCCATTATCCATGCAGGTAAGACGCGTTATGATTTTTGTTGCGATGGTTCTTCAAAGTACTTATTATTTTTTGTTGGGTTTTGTTAGTGTGAAATGTGCCGGAATATCTACTTCCCTGATGATAATGATGATATTGAAGACGCTGGAGACGAAGAAGATGACGCTCTTAGTAGTGGAGCACGAAGACGGGCATTGACTACTGGTGTGAGACCTCCTCCAGCCCCCCAAGGTTCTCGGAGACGAACTCTAGAAGCACTACCGTCACCCAGTCCGTCATTCGTGTCATCGACGTCAGCACAGCGACCCGTTCACTCTGAGCGATCAGTAGGAGTGGCGACGGTAACTACAGCGGCGACGTCAGTATCTTCGCGGATGTCATCACCATAGGTCATAGGAAAAAAAAAGAGTCAAGTCTTGCAAGTTTTTGAGTAGATCCACGATCACCACCAAGCGACTACAAAGAAGTAAACAAGTTTGGATGAGAGCCAATGCGTTCAAGGTAATACTGTCTTTCAAGGTGGACTTGACACATCTTTACGCATCACGAGTCTTTCATTGCAAGACAACCAGATATAATAGCATTAGGACAAAAAGCTACGAGCTGAGACTATGTACGATGAGGAATAGAGCTAAACACTAGATCACTTTCTCCGCATGAGGAAAAAGTAGCTGCCGTTAAATAGTACCCACGCACCCACAACGTAGGCATATGAAGGAGTCAGTTCGGTGGTCGTGGCGGTCGAAGACGCGTGCGGGCCGACGCCACTGCTGGTGAAGCCAGCGGCGTCGCTCGAGTTGAAGTCGCTGCCAGACAAAAAGTCGTCCCCGACGCTGCTTGAGTTGCTCGAACTGCTCGAACCGCTTGGGTTGCTGGAAGAGCTGCCAGAGTTGCTTGACCTGGCGCTACCTGTGATACCGCTGGAGCTTCCAGGCGGCACTACTGCGGCGCTGAGCTGCGGGTTGTCACCCGAGCCCATCAAACTGAAATCCTCCAGCACTCTTGCAGCCACAGCAGGCGAATCCACCTCGTTTAGGACAGTCTGCTTGCCATTCTGCAAGTTGAAAAGCTGGTTCAGCTCGTACATTTCGCGAAACAAGCTCGCATTTGGGGCTACAACTGTCCCAGTCGCTCCTGTTGCGACCAAATCCTCTCGAATCCGCAGCAGTGTCTCCGCCAACGAGCGAAAACTCATCTGGGACTGTCGATATCTACATTCAGGGAGCCACGTCGACTCGACCGCTTGACTGAGCCATGCAGTACACGCTTCTGCTCTACATAACCCTGTCGTCTGCTCCTCGGACGGAGCCACAATAGCGTCTGAAGGCTGCAGAAGCTCCTTCACGTCGTAACCATCTGCTTCCCGTTTGCAAGAGCTAATTAAGCCGTCGTCAAAGAGCTCGCTGTCAACTCGGGAATTGATGTATTCTGAACATTCCTGTACGCCGCCAAACTGCGCAATGGCGCTCTCCACGTCGCACGGTTGGGTCCACAATGACAGTATGTGCGAACCAGCGAAGTACGACGCCTCTGAGGCCTGTTGCGGCTGATAAATGATAGGTTCTTGGGCGTAAGTGCAGGTCGGAAAGATGGTCATTACGACAGCGAATAACATCGCAGCTAGGAGGAACTGGGCACTGCAACCACGAAATCGTCGTCTGCAGTTGACTATCCTGCTATTTATCCAGAGTTTGGGCCTTGTCACGGCATTCTGACGCCGAGAAATCGCCATTATTCCGGCGTTCGAAAGCCGGGACTGGAACGGTCGCTAGAATCGCGATATCTCGGTCAATACGGGGACCTGCCACGCCAGAGAGGGATCAAAATGACTGCAAGAGGGATTCCTAGCGACGGGTGTGTATCGGCGGCCGGCGCGTTCAGCTGGTCGTCCAGGAGAAGGCTGAAGAGAGCACGCTATGAAGAAGCAGGTGATGACGGCCTGTCTGGTCTTCGTCTGGTCGTCCTTTTCGCACTCGTACTTAGAATGGAACACCCAACCGCGTATGCTGAAAGAGAGGTCAAACCTGTATAAACGCATGCTATTTATGCAATGTGGCTGGGTGGGTATGCCAAGTGGGTGAAATTTAAAAAGCACAGTCAGTTGCAGTGGTCATTTGATGCAGCAATGATTTGCGGTTTAGTCGAAAGGTTCTTTTATCCGGCAGCTCGCATCGGCAACAACGGCAACGCTGATGGCCCGTGACAGCACACTGCCCACGCTTGATAACGCGAGGTTATTAGCGATGGTAATGAACTACCGATACATGGCAATTGGCATTGACCTGTCAATTTGAATCAAGCTACCTCGAGTCATCTTCGAATCTGTAGTGCTGTCCCTCCAAACCCACAA